CAGTTTAACTAATTCTCAAACAATCACCAATTCATGTACATTGAATATGAGCACATATGCTCGTATAAATGTATCATTTTATATATTATAATAGATACTGAAGAGATTTTTCTTTACTCTAAAAAGAACTTTAAGCCGCTCAAGTTAAATGTATAGTTTTTCGAAGAGTAGGCTCGTTTCTCATTTAAGATTGTTAAACCAAAAATCGAACTGAAATGATAACCTTCGCAGAGAATACTTAGCATGTGTACTAGGCTCTAATAACCGAAGGGTTGCCCGACTTAGCAGTAGAATCATGCTAATAGATCATTTTAGCGGTATCTTTTTGCACATTTCTTCAACTTTGGTTAGAATCGCCCTTGGATCTCTCCATAATTAATTTGCTATGGTGCACTTTGTAGACATCTACCGAATATTGAACTTTATCAAATAGGGACCATTATCTCGATCCTAATGTTAAGGATGGGATTTTTGCTTTTCATAACAACAATAAAATGACGGACGGTAAGACGCCGTTCTTTTGACGCTTTCGTTATAGATACTCCAACGGAAAACGAACATATATCATCATCTCTAGATGTTTGCGAATCGACACATAAACTGTCTGCTGTTGCCTAACGGATTAGACATGAATTTTCAGCTGTCATTTTCAATCCGCGAGTTCTTTCGATTGTCCTAGCTGTTTTTGCACTTAAGTCATGCGGAGTGGGCTCAAAATAGTGGTGATATTTTTCTCCTATGAGTTTCGACAACATTCAGGTACAAGCAATAAAGGGTCATTTTGCAAACAATATGGTGTGAAATAGGCAAGTGAAAACGTAACAAAACAAGCATAAAATTACAGAGGCCCAGGACTCACCAATAAATAACCTTCGCTTTATACCTCTATTCATATGATGACTTTTCAAAATAAAATGTTACGTGGAAGGTGCTCGAGAAAATAGGCTGATCAGAAATATTTTCAATAATATTCCTCCTTGGGACAAAACACGTTAGTGTCCCAAATTTCCTCAAAATATCTCAAAAATCGCAGGCTATAAGGTCGACACTAGACAACAAGACGGACAGACTGAAAGACAAGCTTAAACCAACTCAAAAAGTGTTTCTGAATCGATCGATCGTTATAATAAGAGGGCACATAATTCTTTATATATATATTGAACTTAGATTTGGCGCAATTAATTAATAAGCTACTAAACTAAATTGTTTCATTCACTAAAAGTTTTCTATTGCAATGCGCGCCAATTATTTTATAATACTTCTCTTTTTCACCTGGTGAAATAAGAAGTAGCACTCCCAGAGGATAAAATTGCAGTGGCTTTAGCATTCTGTGTTATCCCAATCAATTTGAAAATCTAAACCCATTTAACAATGTCCGTCTGTCTCTTAATAACGCTTACTACGAAATTAAAGCAAGTATAAAAGGAATGTGTTGCCTCGTTAGTTAATTATGCTTGACTAAAGACATAATGCGCCCTCAAGTCTTAAAAATTTAAACGCTAAACATTTCCTGGTATTTCCATTTATGAAATAAAAAGAAAAGCATCTATATGTATACCAATCTGCATACACTTAGTAAACTCAAACGAAAATTCTCTGTAAAATGAACTCCACCGCAACTTTCTTTACTACTTTAGCAGTTTGCCATAACAAGTTGGATAAACATCGAAAATCGTTTTACGGTAGTTACGTCTTTGTTATTTGTTCTTGTTAATTTAGTTTACTAACCGCAAAAATATGTACAAATTTTACATAAATAAACGGAGAGGATTACTTCTAATAAAATTCCATGAGATTGATCTTTATGCATGTGCTTTTCCGTCATTAAGGTTTAAATGGTATCCTAACGAATTTGTTTTCCTAAATAATTACCAAATTATTGATATGATGATATGTATCGAATGTGATAAAGAGAGTAGCTTACCAACACCGTTCATATTTTAACAAAGCAATCCAAGTGGCTTGATTGATAAAAATGCTGAGACTTTTTCTTTTAACAAAGTGCTCTCTTTTAACAAAGCGAAAGTACCATTTATTAAGTCTATCAGGAAGCGAAATATCTAAGTTACACTAGGTTCTCTCAACAGAAGATATGTAACCTATTTTCGTATAGTGTAAATGGATCCGAGAGAGAATCGTTTAATACGAAAAGAAAAAATTGCTTTTAAACAGTTTCGATTGATCTAGCTCGGTAACGATGGGACAAATATCGCACATCTGAAGAACATGCCTTCTTCCATAGTCTTTATGGTATGCTTAATTGAATGGTCTCCATTAACATTTAAGAAAGCTTAGCCCCAGTCTTACTTTATCTATGGAGAGTTTGACATGTAGAATGAAGTCAAACTTATTATCAAAGCATATCTAGATCAATAAACAATTCTAATTTCTCAGTTTATGCAAATCAATGAAGTCTTCTGTGACGAATAAATTCGTTGCTGTAAGCGATAGCTACTTTCAATTTTTTTACATTTAATACTAAAGAATTTAATAAACTTGATTAAAATTGACAAGATTATCCACATTTTTTAAATCACATTGAGAAAAACTGGAATTGGAATTCCAAATGTAAGGAGTTGAACCACCCTGTGTACATGAGTTGACTTGATCGCAGACGAAAGGTCGTTAATGTGGAGAAAAATAGTCTTGACCCTGCTGCATTAAGGGAACACTTGGCGTAACTGAAAATTCGCTAGAAGAGGACGAGCTAAAAGGCACTGTACAATGTCGATCGCAGAGATATGAACTTAACTATTTCCCTAAGTATAAAGGAAAGTCAGACTTTCGCAGCTTAAGATTTAATACACTTTTGTTAATTCGGTCCAAGGCCTCACTGAAGTCCATCTGTCAGCCGTAGGTAAATCCCTTAAACATATAGCAAGTGAATTCTAAAATTTTAACAACGTCTACACTGCGTTGTTAAAATGCACGTCGATGTCGATAAAAAGGCGATATAATAACGAAAGCAAATGCAATATGCCCAGTAACAATAGGTTCCGTATTTCGCTAGAAAGTTCAACTTACCCAAGCCTATATAATTCGCTACTAGGCTATCTATTGCCGTTTTTGCGAATTGGTATAACTAAACTGCCCTACCAGCACATTGGAAGAACACCAACTTTCAGAGCAAGACAAAAGCTTCTATAACACCACAGAGTTCTTTAGCCTACGACTCAAATATACAAACTTTTAATATAATCTATTATGCACATTTATATTCAAAGGGTACACATACTACGTAATATACAGATATAATATAACTGTTACATAGTGTATATAGCACATAGTACACAATATAGAGAATAGAGTAGGTAGTATATAGTATATGGTATATGTTATATAGAATTATAGAATTACATGGAGGGGGCTACCGTAAAGCTGTGGAGGTAAGACTAGCTACTGCGGTCATATTTTCACAGACATAGTTTCGCTTGTTAAGACTTTAAGCCTAAGAATATTGTATAACGTTTACTTTAAATTTGCTAAGTGCTTGTGATTGATACTCTTCGCTATAAGGTCATAGTTTAAGCTTTAGACTTCAGTTCGCTTGGTGTATATTGTGTATTGTATATTACTTTCGACTTTGCAGATCGATGATTTTTTCAATACTTCTGTGTTGTGTACACTTAAAACGGTACAAATAAATGTACACCATGTGTTATATCTACATTATATAATATATACCACGTATCATTTTTATACCCATCACCCAAAGATGAGATGTGTATTCATCTCATCGAAATGTTTGCAATGCCAAGAAGCAAGCTTCAGATAGTCAACAAAGTACATACGTTCTCAATCGTCAACAAATTCTGAATCGATCTGAACATGTCTGTCTGGCTGTCTGCACCGTCTCTATTCGCCTGACCACAAAAATTAAGCTATTTGCTTCAAATTTGGCAGAAAAATTGGAAGTTTGTGCAAGTGGTTGGTAATAAAAATGGGCCAAATCGACTGAATACATGCCTACCGTACCAGGCAAACTGAGGACGCCTCTGTTTTTCAAAAGGAATAAAAAATTTGTTTTTTTGTTTAGTGCTCTTAAGCTCTGCAAAAACATTCGCTGTCTATGGGCGCCGCTGTAGTACCTGTGCAAGAATGGGAAAAATTGCGCCTACGCGATATTATCGTAGATCAAAGTTTCAGCAACTTTATCACGCGCAAAGGCAAGTTTCAAAAATCCCACAGAGTATATATATTTTTGCCTATTTACGGATTCGCAGTACAACTCAACATGTCCGTCTGTTTTTGTGACTATCGATCCGTCTACCCAACTATGACGGGCCTGCAATAAACATTCTTCCGTTCGCAAAAATGAAGATCCCGCCGTACAAATTCGCGAATGAGAAAATGGCCCAAGGTCAAGCCCACGCCCACAACGCTTACATATTTATTTAATCGAAACGGGGAATATCTTTGTTTTCCGTGTCTTTTTCGCGTTCCTCGTAAATTAAATTTCCACAAAATTATTCTACAGCCTCGCCCATCCAATACTATGGCGTATACAAATCAATATTTTTCCGTTTCCGTAATCTTTTATAGAAAAATGGAGATGTACATAAAAGTTTCGGTCGCGATTGAATGTAATTTTCTAACTTGTTTATTATCAGTTATTCAATACTGCCGAAACCAATGAAAACGCAACCAAGCCATTGATTAAATCAAGTTGATGACACAATTCTTAAAGAATTCACATACCCTGGAAACGTTAGGCGGACCTTAATATTTTTCGTTTAGTTTATTACAAAAACTTATTCTGTGAAGATGCCTTTAATAAGTTTCCTTGTTTTAATATGATTTTGTAAAGTGGCGAATGATAATAATAAAATGACAAAATATTGAAATTGAACACAGTCAACTACTCTCGCTGTAATCCTATTTTCCAGTTCATTCAATTGTTTTCTTTTTCCCTTTATAACTGCTCTAGCATTGAGACGAGACTATATAAATAATTGAAAATTTTTCTTATCTTCTTAAAGCTAGGCAGTTTTTAAACTCACCTTTGACCAGTGTTAGTATACCCAAAGGCATAACCAGTATGGCAACCATAAGATCAGTAATGGCCAACGACATCAGAAAATAGTTGGTAACATTTTGTAAGCGTCGTTCCCAGGCAATGGCCAAACAGACAAGTATATTACCGGCTGCTGTGCCAATTACTAAAATCAATGCCAATAAAGCCCAGTAGTTATTCAAATGGTTGTTGGTGGTGTTGTCGACGACAGCAGAAGAGGTTAACAACTCTTCTTTTCCCGGGCTGGTTATGGTGGCGTTCGAAATGTTAACATAAAATAAAGTCGCTAGTGTTGTTGTTACTGACGATAATTGTGACGACGACGGCGATAGTAAAGTCGAATCTATTTGATTTTCTGTGTACCACAAATTGAGATTCGCTGTTGCGTTTAAATTATTATTGTTGTAAAAAAGAAATGTATTATTGTTATATTGTGATAATTTTAATTGAGTCTGCTGTGGATGCGGTTGTTGTTGCTGTTGTTGTTTTTGAGACCAAACCATCAATGCATTTTCGAGTTGATGTTCTTCTGAACTAGTGACCGTTTGCAGCTCCCAAATATTACTATCGTTATAAATGCTATCAACTTCGTTAACATACACAACATCTTCTTCCATGTTATATTGGAGCATGAAAAAAGTGTTTACGAAAATTATTTATGACTACAATGACCTGCAAAACGTTTTTAATAGCAGAAATAATGGAAGGTGTCTTCTTAGACACATTACCTCCGCTGGCAATCTGTTGTAGGCTTTTATTAACATTTTACAACAACTTGCTAAAGGTTTACGAAACGACTTGTGTTGTTGTGCTGCGGAAATTATTTTCAAGCTAATTTTTAGATCTACATTATTTCTTTTTTTCATCCCCTTTTTACTTCACAAATATATACATTTTATGGTGAAGTGATAGAAGTTTTATTTATTTTAGTTGTTGCCGGAATTTGTTGGGACATTATTTAAGAAATTTTCCGAGGTATTCCTCAACCATTCACATCCGGACATTTTCAGTACGGAAGTCATTTCGTCTTCTCACTTCATCTCATTCTCTTAAGCTGACTTCTTGTTTTAGAAATGTACTGCGAAGTAAATTTGGCTCTCGTATAAGATACATCAATAGGATATAGAAATGTTTCCCTTTTTTCCAATAGTATTTCGACTTGATTTTTTCTCGATTGATTTTATCTTGAATTAGAAATTGAAAGAAAGACGATTCTTTGACGTGCATTCAAGAGCTGTTTGTGTGAATATTTTTCATCCTTCATGTCACATGTTCTAGATGAAGGCTGTAAAAAAAATTAGAGCATATAAAAATGTATATAAAAATGTAGTAGGTACGAAATATTTGAAAAATGTTCTCTTTTAATTAAAGTTATTTTAAATTTCAATTAAGCAAAGCGAAACGAAAAAACTCTTAAGACGATTGCCATCAAACGCTTTGTTATTCCAACCATTTACGTCCCTATAGTTAAATTCGTTACACTTATCCCTCGATTTACAAAATTTCATAATTATGCGGTTTCTGAATTTTTTCATTTTCACACTTTTCACAGTTCCTTATTGTTATACGTTTTCTACCACTATTGCTAACTGCACGTACGTCTAAACTCACCGTACTTTTTTACAATATCGCCACTGGATAATTTTGAAACTACAGTTCCCTCTGCATTCCCTCACTGAAACTATATCTGAAATATCGCAAGATTTCATTTTGGGCCCCTTATCATTTAATCTCTTCGTAAGCGATCTTGCGGGTTTGGTTAGCAATGATTGCACTTTTTTGCATATGCAGATGACGTTTTTCTGCTCTATAAATATGCTACAAATAATTGGAATTTGTTCGGAAACAATATTAACGAATCTTTTGCTCCTGGGTGATGGACAATATGCTCTGCATTAACTCCAGTAAAACTAAAGCCTTATTGTTCAATTCTCCCCGTTCTTGGTCATTTAACCTTAATATAAAAATATCTTATAGATCTTACAGATTCAATGCAACTTCTTGTGACGATCCTTTGCCTTTGACAATGCCCCTGTTAAAGTTACGCTCCGATAATTATATAATCTAAATTTATATCTGCCTTTACAGATTTAATACACCATTGCCCATTCTCTCCTCCTGACACATGTTAACTATTGTATTGGAGTTCTTCCGGGCACTCAAGGTATAACTTAAATAGGCTTCAAAATATTGTTTTGCTTATAACAAACGTTTATGACATGTTTATAGCACCTTTGCCATAATTCCTTAAAATCCTCCTTTCTGGAATAGGTAAAATTCCGATTGGTTATCTACTTCTAAAAGCTCATTTAATCTCGATTCCCAAGCCTTGTATTAGACCGACTGCAATTCTCTAAATCGAATCGAATCGATTAGAAACGCTATCGTATTAATCCAACGTCTGTCTGACTCATCAGCTGTCGATCTTTTGCTGTTCCCGTTACTACTTATTGGAATACTTAGTCTGAATTCCTCCGATGATTCTTTGAATACGTGTAAAGAGAATTGTCCGCGCTGCTAAACGTATATTTTGTTTCTGGTACGAATTGATGAGTACGGTGTTTACGAAGCAAGACAATTACATTAGCAAACATCTGGTACACTTGTATACTCACTTATGTTGTAATGTTGTTATGTTGCATGAAATATATATAGTTACTTAATAAGTGAATACATGAAAATGAAATGGGTGGTGCCTAGTGGACGTATTTGGCCTAGTGGGGTTGTTTGCGGTTTTTTTGTAAGTAAATGTTGAAAAGCTCTACGATGTATTACTGAATTACTGAACCAAATGGAACTTAACTCTTTGCAACTATGCGAATGTCTGCTAAAACAACACAGACATAGCGAGCAAAATCGCGAAGCTCTTTCGGAGGGTCTGCTTAAGAAGTTTGAATTAACAAAATGCATCTTTTTTGTTGTTAACCATGTTAACCAGTGATTAAGAAATTCGTAGCTTATGTGGGATTTTCAGATTATAAAAGAAATATTACTGCACAAAAAAAACTGTAGGTACAGTTTGTTACGTTGTTGGTACGATCTAGACAAGTTCCTCAAAGACTTTCCGCACACTCTTATTCACCATAAGATTCCGTATTCTTGCAGCGAAGTTGTTAGGATCTCTATTGTTACGCAAATATATTTTCAATTAAGACATTATAGTGAACGATCTCGAGGTACGTGCAGCAATTTTGCAAAAACTCTGTTTTACAACTTTTTTAACTTATTCATTGTTGAATTTGTAAAAAATAGGTTTGTGTTTTGTGCTTTCATCTATCTCTTGCATATTTAGATTAACTACCAGCAGCATCCATACGTTATCTTGTTTTTGTGTTGGGTTGATATATCATGCCCTTGATATGCTCAGTTTTTAGAGAATTCGATCTTTTTTGTAAACTAGGGGATAAGTATATATGTGTGATATGATTAATATGACTAATGGCTTTTGTTTTTCAGTGACTTACAACATATATTTTACTATTCTCTTTTGTTATATTATTTCTACTTTTAAAATGCTTCGAAATAAATAACAAGGCCGCCTTCATCTTTTCTCAATTTTTATGTGGCAATATACCAAAGAATGTTTCTGTTTTTGCACGTACAGCAAAAATGAAAAGGGCAATATATAAAACTATTTCCATTTTGGTTGAACCTTTAATATTCGTCACTAGAAATAAATTTGTAAAATTTGCTCACTATTTGGTTCGTTAAATGGAACGTGTTAGGACGCTAGTCGAAAATATTTGTACATCAACCGTTTAAATGATCCTAGTAAGGATTCGAGATTAAAATCCACTAGAGATCGTAAGTTGTAAGTGGTAATTAGTAAGTTACCTTCGTTTTCAAACTCGATTGGCGAAAAAAGTATAGGTTTTAACTATCTATAGAGAACTTTTGCGAACGTGATCTTTCCGATAACAAAGGAGCAGACGAAGACTTAAATCGACTCCGATCGAACTTAACCCTGACTGAAAATACATATTAGTTAGGTGAGCTTTGATACGCACTTCTAGGTGTTACGAAGGGAAGAATATATTTGGTAAAAAGTGTTTGCGCACATTTTGAGCAGCGACATCTATTGGCGATAAAGTAATGTAAAGTATGAATGCACACAGCGATTAAATTCGACGATTTCGACCTTTCTCTACATAGAACAACATTTTTCATTACGTATTATTGAACTGACTGCTGCCAAAGCTTATGAAATAATTTTAAAAAAGCTTATGGCGGTACTGCTCCATCATATGTCAATTGTTGTAAAAAAGACCAGCAATAACCGTTAACAGACACAAAGTCATCCTATTGCATGACAACGCTCGGCCGCACATTGCAAGCGTTGTGTATCATATACCATTGCTGCTCGAATGGGAAGTTCTGTGAGACCCAGCGACTTCTGATCACTACTTGCTCAGATCGATACTTCTTGGCTGGTACGCGGTTTGTAAAAAAGTACGGAAAGGAGTCGACGATTGGGTCACCGCCAAAACCAACATCGTTCTTTCGAGATTGTACCGCCCTAAGATCGTACTGTGCCCGACAGATCGGAAAAATTTGTAGAAAATGATGCAAAATTTTGTGGTATTACATATTGTATGAATTTTTCGCAAGTGAAAAATTATCAAAATCCATGCCCCACTACTCGGTGCGCGGCATAAAAATTAACTTGGAAATTAAAAAGAAGAATCCAAATGAAATGAGTATAGGAATTGAGGATAATACGTTGTCAAACCGGGGTCCAAAGTTTCAACGATAGTGTCGCATAAAATTGTTGCTCATATAACGGCAACGCTGACATTAGCTTGTAAACATGAGGAAAACACAGCTTTTTATGACTGTAATTAACACTAAACGTACCGACATTTCACCCTACGATGAGCGGTCAAATGACCGCTTGAAAAAAACGTATGTATCTTAGTAAAGTAGATAGTAAACAAAATATTTTTCTCATGCTACAATAAAAACTCGTTCCCCGCTTTTCGATGTATGTATATTTTACGAAAAGTCAATAAGCTACATGACGATACAATAACGTTTTATGCGAGAAATTTTAAACGAAAGTTTAAAAACGGTCATTTGACCGCGCGCGGTACGTTTAGTGTTAAAATTGATATGATATGTAGAAAAGTAGTGAGCTCTAATGTAGAAACTTTCTTCATAAAAATGACAGGAGCAGTGGAACAGCGGTTTAAGCGACACAATTGCATTTTTTGAAATGCAATCAAGTATTATAGATAATAAAATTAATTTCAAAGCCTCCTCCAACTATCCACATACCAGTTTATCAAATACAGTTTCCTGAGTGCAGCTTTTATACGTTGTTTGAAGCAAAAATTCGAATTGTAGCACAGTTAACACATAAATTCTCAGAATACTCGATCATTAACAATGTTTGGGAATCACTTTGCGACTTTGCAACTGTAGAATCCTTTTTTATTCTTTTTTGTATTAATTTTCATTTTGGTTTTTGTCTACTTCAAAATACATGCGGGGCTGTAGTTAAAAACGCTCATTCTCAAGTACAAATTTAACGGCCTTGTAGAGTTACACAACAATTTTCGTTTAACTTAACATATCGAAGAGGAAAACTGAAGTAATGAACATCAGCTAAAGTGCCGCTGCGAGTAAAGTACACGAGCAATGCTTGATAACAGACAACAACAATATCCAAAAGAAGAAGAAAAATGTATTTTAAATTTTTTTTGAAATTGTTCAGCAATACAATTGAAAAGAAAGTATTAAAATTTACTACAAGTAGGGTGAATTTATGTTTTAGTTTTTGTTACCAATCGTTGACCAATACAATACCATATATGTTATGATCAGAATTTATTACCAGAAAAATATTTCTCCCGTTTCTATCATGAAAGGAAACTTCACGCTTGCCGTTATTGCCGCTATACGGCTACATGCTGCAATGAAACGCCATGTGAGCCAATATATACATAAGTAATCGTATATTGTTGTTACTATTATAAATAACATTCTCTCTTAAGCGTTATACAAGCCCACACAAACGAGTGCACAGACAAAACTGTTAAGCTGAAAACTGCCCAGCCAAACGACCATCAAATGAACTCTAACCAAACAGCAGTTAAGAAAAGTGTTTTTAGTTTTTTATATGACAATGTGTTTTGTAAACGCAACCGCTACAAGTGGCGTATTGAGAGCCAGCTACCATACCGCTGGTTTTGATACCTAAATAGATACAAACATATACATAAAAGCATTTCATACAATTTCATTCCCAAGCACCATACAACGAGACTAGAGGAATGATAATATATA